ATAGTGGCAGACTGGTATGTTGTAACATGTAATAAGATGTTAAAATAAATAAAATATGAAAACTAAAAGCAACACAAAGTACTAAGTCACCATGGAAATCTTGTGACTTTCCTTGGGTTTTCTTGAAGTGAAGCACCTGTGCCCCAGACACATTTGCATACTCAACAGATGCTTAGAGTCTAGAATGGAGAGGATCAAAATATCACACAGGCCTGGAATGCTGAAAATGGAGCTGAAAGAAAAGAGAGCAAGCTGGCAGGCGTGGTGAAGAGGAACGTGGTAAGGACAACAAGTCCTCGCCAGCAGACTCTGACAACAGCCAACTAAGGGGGGATGCATTCTACCCAGCACAGTTCTCGCCATATGAGATGGTCCCAGAACCTCGTGCCAGCCAGGAGCGAACACTGAACACCAGGATCTTCTTCATTTACATGCCATTACCCAGAATTCTCTGGGGCTTTTACAAATTTCTTTTTTGAAGAATATTGCTAACGTCAGAGCTCAGATACAAAAGCAAATTAATTTTAGATATGACAAGATCACCGATTCCACTTGCTAACAGGGTTCTTTATTGAAATTCTGGGCTTATAACAGCTGACGTCAATTAATTTGTCCAAATGGTCGGGCAGCTTCTGGAATATTGTCTAAACTGTTAAGCTCTGAGGGAGATAACTCAGAACGACCCATTTCTCCTTTAAAAGCCATAGTACATGTTAACTTTTTGTTGAGCTAAGTGGGTCAATTTTCCCATAATCAAAGATGGAGGCAGAAAGGTGTAGGTAGAAAAAGAGAGCTCACAGGGCAGGTTACATCTTCACATATAGGAACTGTTACTTGTCCTATATCCTTTCCATCGGTCTCTGGGCAGATAAGACATGAAATCAACATCATAGAGGGCAGTAGTCCTTCCCTGCTCCTTACAGGTTGTTACCTTTTCAGATTGGTGGGTAATAAAGTCAAAGAAATCCCAGCATCACAGATACAGAGACTATGTGACCTTCTGCAAGAATCTTGTATGTTGGGCAGCGTATGTCTGGAACATGTCTATTGCACATGTGTATCTGTTGAGTGTGGGTGACAGTGCGTGGGGTGGGTAGGTGGGTGGACTAAGCTGTCTAAATCTGTATTGATGGTGTTTCAAATGTGTTTGAAATGTCTGGGTGTGAGTGTATGTCACTGAATGTGGAGTGTGTGCATGTGTGTGGATCTGTGCAAAGTGTGCTACAAATGTAGAAATGTGTGTGGCAAACACAAAGGGATTAAGTTGCTCACTGTAGGTTGCACGTTTCTGGAATCCAAGGGCTGGGCTAGAGACAGCTTTCTTCTGTTTCGTTTGCAGTTTGGTCCAAAAAAGACAGGGCATTACTAATTGAAGACTTCTTACTGGCTTGTAAAAGCAAAGGCCATCAGGGCTGCTCTCACAACTACTATCTTCATGTTGCACAAAGACCATCTCCCCACTTTCAAGTTAAAAATAAAACTGCTTAGGGTCCATTGACATGACTCAGGGGATAAAGGCTTTTGACAGCAAGCCTCAGTTCAATCCCTGAGACTCACATGGTGGAAAACTCTCATAAATTTCCCTCTGATCTCCACATATGAGTTATGGCTTGCACGCCACTAACCCTTCTACACACAGATAAATAAATAAGAAAATGTAATAGTTTCTAAATTTTTTTTTTGAGACAGTTTCTCCGTGTATACTTGACTGACCTGGAACTCTCTCTATAGACCAGGCTGGCCTGGAACTCACAGAGATCCGTCTGCCTCTGCCTCCTGAGTGCTGTGTTAAAGGTGTGTACCACCACCATCTGGCAAGTTTCTAATTTTTAAAAGACCTATTTTATTTCTCTCTCTCTTTCTCTCTCTCTCTGTCTCTGTCTCTCTCTGTCTCTCTGTCTCTCTCTCTCTCTCTGTATGTCATGTGTGTTCAGGCGCCCACAGAAACCAGAATTGGTCATCAGACCCCTGAGAGCTGGAGCTACAGGCCCCTGTGAGCTAGAGGTCTTCTACAAGAGTAGCACATATTTGACCAAGGAGTCTCTAGACACTAAATTTAGCAACTTTTGTTTTGTTTTTGTGAGACAGCCTCTCCAACAATCAATTTTTAAAAAATAAATGAAAACAAATGAACGGCCCAGGGGATAGGAGCTGACATGTGATCTCTTCCTCTCAAAACATGGCCCTCTGCCATAGCTCCCCACGTCAGTAGTCATCAGAACCAGTTGGGGAGATTTCTAAAATAGAGATTTCCACACAACACCCAGGAGCCCAGAATTCCTCAGACATAGCAAGAGCTTGTAGTACCACACGCTCACTGTGACTGTCATGTCCAGCCAAATTTTGGGACTACTGGCCTCCGGTACGCCAATCATGTCAAAATGTGTATTTTCTATGGTGTTTGTCCCAGTGGCCTGTGCAAATACTCAAAGTGTGCCTCACGTAGGACAGAAGCTGGCTAACTACTCCACGGCGTGTGTCGTTGTCTCTATCTTACACCCTACCCAACCTTCTTCAGATCTTTCTTTCTGGTTTGGTTTGGTGGTTGTTGTTGAGACAGGGTCTCACTATGCAGCCCTGGCTGGACTGTAGCTTGCTATGTAGATCAGGCTGCCCTAGAACTCAGAGATATGGCTGCCTCTGCCTCTTCTGATCCTTTTACTGAAAAAGGAAATTATGTGAAAATGTAAAAGTAACACCAAATGGCCATAAAATTGTTTCTTGGCACCTTCTGGGGAAAATCCTCAGGCCATCTTAAGAAGAGAGCTTTTCAGGACGTCCAGAGGCCAGTGGTGGAACCCCTTCCAGGGAGACCAGTCTCACCTGATGAACACAGCCTGTTTTGGCTGCTTGCTGGAAGGGCCTTAGGCAGTGTGCTGCTGGAGACAGGGACATTTCCCACACTCCGACTTACAGGTGGCTGAAAACCCACCAGCACCAAGGAAGAAAGGACAAAGACAAAGAGCCGAGAGGTGGGATGGTGAAGCAGGCCTCCCTGCTGTCCCATCCAGCCTTCTGGCCTTAAGGATCCAGTTCTCTGAGCATCACTTCTCCGTTTCTCTGACCTTGAAGCAGCACAATGGAGCTGCGTTCCATTTGCCACTCTTCCTGGGGAGAAGGGAGCAGAAGGTTGAGGACTCCTTGCAATTTGAATCTCAGGAATGCAGAAGAAACAGCCTGCCTCCTGCCTTGGAGCTGAGCCCCTCTATTGAAATTTGACTCATCCTTGGTGGTTTATTGTGTTTTCTGCTCTTCTTCCTTGTGACACACAGGAGTAGGTGAGTAATGCTCTCTGCCGGGAGAAAAAAATAGATCCTCAAATGCCTTCCATTATGCTGAAGGCCTTGTCACCGGCTGTGGTGGCAGGGGGTGTGGTGACCATCCATTAGCACAGGGAGATTCAGAACATCTGACTCCCTCTGCTGAGGCTATTTGTGATTCTAAGAGCCCAAGCAAGGACAGAAAGCCGATAAACACAGAGAAGGCTAAGAGGCCTGCTGGGAGTCTTGGGGAGCCAGAACGGTCAAGTCCTCAGCAGCAGGAGACCCCAAAGTCCCCCTGAAGGTGCACAGTTAGACCTACTTCGCGCTGCTTCACCTGGCCTGGCCCCTTCTCCTAGCTGTAAGGAGTAGAAATAGCTAATATTTACTGAGTTCCTGTTACATGCCGGGCACTGGGAGGAGCGTTTCCTGTGTTGTTGTCTTATTCACACACACAACAACATGACGTACAACCTTACGAGAATATCCGCTTGGTTGAATTCCGGTGTTTGACTAACGAGCAAGTGAAGAGAAACTGCTTCATCTGTGTTTTTCTATATACCATCAAAGTTTCGTTCCAGAGATGGCACTCCTGACAGATGGACAGGCCCAGGCTTCCTTCGAGCACTTTCGTGACTACCAACAAGGAGGAAAAGGGGTTGCCATCACTGTTAGCAAGGTGACAGAGTGCAGATAATAAATGATTGCCCTGGGATCACAAACCCCCCACCCCACTCCCAGGGAACTTTAGGGTTTGGGTCTGGGGAGATGTCTCAGTAGGTCAAGTGTTTGCTGTTAGCATGAGGACCTGAGTTCGGATCCTCAGCTTCCACATCAAATCTGAGCACTTTAGTAACTCCAGTGCTGGGGGAGTAGGGAGGGCAGAGACAGGTGAATCCCTAGGGGCTGGCCAGCAAGCCAGTCTAAGCCAAACAGCAAAGCTCTGGGGTTTTTTGCTTGTTTGTTTGTTTTTGTTTTGTTTTTCGAGACAGGGTTTCTCTGTGTGGTTTTGGTGTCTGTCCTGGATCTCGCTCTGTAGACCAGGCTGGCCTTAAACTCACAGAGATCCGCCTGGCTCTACCTCCCAAGTGCTGGGATTAAAGGCATGTGCCACCACTGCCTGGCCAAAGCTCTGGTTTTAATGAGGACCCTGTATCAAAAAATAAAGGGAGAAGTTATTGAAGAAGCCATTCCAATACAAAACCTCTGACCTCCACATACACCCAAATGGGCAAATGCACCCCCCATACACATACACAGAAATTTGTTTTTATTTTGATGTTTCGTTTTTAAAACAGGGTCTGAACTGGGTGGTAGTAGCACATGCCTTTAATTCCAGCACTCAGGAGGCAGAGGCAGGTGGATCTATGAGTTTGAGGCCAGCCTGGTCTACAGAGGGAGTTCCAGAACAGTCACGGCTACACAGAGAAACCCTGTCTTAAACCCTCTCCCCAAGAAAACAGTAACAGGGTCTGTAGCCCAGGTTGCCCTCGGACTCCTTATATAGCTAAGCATGGCCTCAAACTTCTGACCTTGCACTTCCCTGTCTCAAAAGCTGGGGTTACAGGGATTGTGCACCCTTGCTTGATTTATAAACGCTGGAGATGGAACCCAAGGCTTCATCCCTGCCAGGCAAGCACTATACCAACTGAGCTACCCCCAGCCCTTCCACAGAAACAACAAACAAACAAATTCCCCAAAACCCCATTATCTCTCAGACATCTAAAAATATACTTTAAGGGGCTGGAGAGATGGCTCAGTGGTTAAGAGCACTGCCTGCTCTTCCAGAGGACCTGGGTTCAATTCCTAGCACCCACACGGCAGCTCACAACTGTCTGTAACTCCAGTTCCAGAGGGCCTGACACCCATGGCAAAGCACCAATGCACATGAAATAAAGTTTAAATATATATATATATATATATATATATATATATACACACACACACACACACTTTAAGTTCTATTACACTAGAAATACCTTTTTGCCTTCTGGACCTGACCTACCCAGCTGGAGCCATGCTGGGAGAAAAATTAATGTTTGTCTCAATGGCACTTTCTTATTCAGCTAATTGATTTTTTTCCAGAATAACAATAACGCTTGAACATCAGAGCGCCTAATTATCACCAGCTTTTTGTTTGCCCTGTCATTAAATTCACAGCTGCCTTGTTGGTGACAGTGGGGCCACAGAGAAGTCAGTTGCAACCGTTAGTTTCTGAGAGGAGGGACAGGAAGGAGGCTGGACTGATTCTGCCAAGGTCAGGGAATGTCTCAGCTGCGTTTCATCAGCACACGTGGGAGAGACTACTGTGGAACGGACTGGGCCTCTCCCTCTACAGAGGAGATATGTCACGCAACATATTAAAGCCAGCACGTAGATAGCACGTTGGAGTGGGTGGGGCACTAAGATAGCATGCTGGAGTGGGGACAGGGCTCAGAGTTCAGCATTTATTTACAGTGTGTAATGCTAGGTACATTCCCCGGTGCCTCAATACAAAATAAAATCAAGTCACATAAAAGCATGTCCTCAAAGAAAGCCCCATGCCTAGTGAGGAAGGAGTGTCTCTCCAGGAAGACAGAAATGCTTTGGAATAGATAGAAGTGGTGAATGCATCATGCTGCCAATGTACTGGATCCCACGAGATGTTTACTTTTAAATGAGTAATTTTGTGTTATGCAAATTTCATTTCAATTCAAAGAAAATCTCATCACTTAAGACATGTGTTTCATTGCTTGGTAAATTTAAACTAAGAAAACTGAAAATATCCAACTCTTGGAAAATGATGGCTAATCTCTGCCAGGAGCCATCAGTGCACCCCAGACTTAAGGATTCCACAGGGCCTGGCCAGGAAGTCTTCTGAGATCCACAAGCTGCCTTCCTGGGCTCTTTTCTTGCACATGGCTGTTATCTTCAACCCTCCACCAAGCAGGACCCTATCAGGGTTATCTTGCCAAAGGTCATGATTAGGTCTCTGTCCTCCTCTTAGCCAACCAGTGAGCAATATTCTCTCTGGGCAACAACTCCCTTATTCTGGATACACATCTGGGCTTTTGTGACACCACAGTGGTCTGTTTTTCTTCCTTCCTCATGGTCCCTTTGTGGGCAGTTTTCCTGTTCTGAAGCTATTCTCTAATAATCACCCAGAGGCTTAATATTAATTACAAATGCTCAGCCAATAGCTCAGGCTTGTTACTAAATAGCTCTTACATTTTAAGTTAACCCATATTCCTTATCTATGCTCTGCCACGTGTTGGTACCTTTATTAGCATGGCACATTCATCTCTTGCTCCCTCTGAGTCTGGCTGGTGACTCCAGATTCCACCCTTCTTCCTCCCAGTGTTCTCCTAGTCCAGTTCTCCTGCCTAACTTTATCCTGTTCAGCTATTGGCCAGTCAGCTTTTTATTAAACCACTCATAGTGACATATATTCACAGTGTATAGGAATATTACATTTCCCCCTTTTTGTCTAATTAAAAAGGAAGGTTTTAACCATAACAGAGTAAAACTATATATAATAAGACAGTCATATAAGAATTACAGTTACAATATCCAGTCCATTTGCATTTGGCAAATTTAGAGAAAAAAACTATTATCTTGGGGGAGATGCCAGGGATTGAATCTGGGGCCTACAGCCCTTCCTCATTCTTCTTCTCTTCTTTTCAGAATGGGCAGTACTCAGGGCTCTGTAACTGTATCCCCTCTGCCCTTTAACTGGGTGACCTCATTCCATCCATCTCTATCTCTGCCTATGCCTTCCAAATAAGTAGTGCTAGACTAAACACCACCCCTGTACTCCAGCATGCTCTGTCTTACGGCCATTTGTCATCTCGGCTTGGATGTCTCACATGGCTGAGACAGATAATATGAATTCCTTCCTACCCCAGCGAGGGCCTCCTCATTTTTGTAAATGACACCGGTACTCATTTAACTGCTCAGGCTAAAATTGAGTCATGTTTGAATCATCTCCTTCCTCACACCTCACTTCTAACCCATAGTACCTCCTCTTTCCTCTGCTCCAGTGTGTCCTGAACACTCCACTTTCTCCACATCCTTCTCTACGTTCCAGCTGTGATCCACCATGTCTTACATTCTCTCCCCAGCTCTCTCCTACTCCCATCCCTGTCTTCAGTGTAACCCCACCTTTTAGGCAGGCTCATGCTTCCAGAGATAAACGAGGTCTTAGGCACACACTGAGGACCCACTGTCTTCAGAGTCCTAAACTCTCACAGGATCTAGGCGACCTCCCCTGCAGACCCCTCGCCTGGTCTCTCTCCTTGTCTCTCATTCACGGTGCTGTAGTCACAGGGCTTCTCTCTGTGCCCCACTCAGTCTGCTCTTGTTCCTGCTTTGGAGTCTTCCTTCTGCTTGGGCTGCTCAGCCCGTTTGAACAGCTGTCTCTTCTCGTCACGTGGCTACGGCCCCAACTTAAACTCACTTCCATAGAGAAAACCTCCCTGCTTTGACAGGTGTCTCTGGTCGATCATTGGTTTGTTTGAAAATTTATTTTTATTCTATGTATATGACTGTTTTTGCCTGGATATATTTCTGTGCACCATGTGTATATCCCTGGAAGTCAGAAGAGGGCATCAGATCTCCTGGAACTAGAGTTACAGATGGTTGTGAGCCGACATGCACGTGCAGGGAATTGAACGCAGGACCTCAGAAGAGCAGCAAGCACTCTTTTTTTTTTTTTTTTTTTTTTTGGTTTTTCGAGACAGGGTTTCTCTGTGTAGCTTTGCGCCTCTCCTGGAACTCACTTGGTAGCCCAGGCTGGCCTCGAACTCACAGAGATCCGCCTGGCTCTGCCTCCCGAGTGCTGGGATTAAAGGCGTGCGCCACCACCGCCCGGCGCAGCAAGCACTCTTAACCACTAAGCCATCTCTCCAGCTCCTCCTCATCAATCTTGATAGCTCATTCTCAGATCTAACTCTTCCCTATGCATTTACCGCTGACTTGCAAATGACAGTCTCCTCCTACTGAAATATAAGCTCCTTGAGGGCAGGGACCCTCCTCTCTACCAAGCTCAGGCCAGCATCTTGTAGCAAAAAAGCACTGTGAAGCTGACAAGCTGGACTTCAACAACTCTGAGGAGACGAAAAAACATCTGTGTGGTGTGTCACACAAGGCTTATCAGACACCTCCTACTCTTGTAGAGGTCACCTTTATCAGGCTCCTTTCTGTCAGCTGACGCTGAGTTTTATGACAAGAGCGGGCTATCAGGACCAGGTCAAAGACCTTCCCCTTGGCTTCTCCAGTGCCGAGGCTTCACACCTGGACCTTAGCCAGTGCCTTGCACCATTGTTGATCTCTCCTTCCGGCCCTGCTCCTTGGAATCTGCTCTCTGGTCCACCAGACCTGCCTTCACTCCATGGGTTCACTTTCCAGGTGAGTCTTCCTTCATCCCAGTGGCGAACACTTTCCTAGCTGCTGTTCCCTGGAAATGTGACAGGCGGGGCCCTCCCATCTCTTATGCAAACAATATGTGGTAGTGATATTAAATAAGAGTCATAAGTAGGGGCTGGAGAGATGGCTCAGTGCTTAAGAGCACTGACTGCTCTCCCAGAGGACCTGGGTTCAATTCCCAGCACCCACATGGCAGCTCACAACTGTCTGTAACTCCAGTTCCAGGGGACCCAACACCCATGGCAAAGCACCAATGCACGTAAAATAAAAATACAAAAGTTAAAAAAAATTTAAAAAGAGTCCCAAGTACAGTTCTCCCTAAGGGAGATCGTCACTTAGTTTAAGGGGGCATTGGATGGTCTTTAAGTGGAAGGCATCTTCATGCTGGCGGCTTTCCTGCAGCTGGAAGACCTGGGCATGAGTTGGGCCTATCACTCCTGATAGCTTCACATGGACTCAAATATCCACACTGAGTAGCCAATAGTTTCCTTTGCTCCCAATATCACTCATTTAAATCTGAGGTTTTCCAGAGCCAGGTGTACTAGTAGCATAAGCCTGTAATCCCAGGACTTCAGAAACAGAGGCAGGAAAATTAGGAGTTCAAAACCAGCCTTGGCTACATAGTGAGTTAAAGGCCAACCTCATATACATGACCCTGTCTCAAAACATTAAAATAAAATAAATGAAGTAAAAAGAAACAAAGTTTTTTTGTTTTTTTAACTCTTTCATGTTGTGGCCCCCAATCTGTTCCACAGTTCCTTGTCTTAGGTCTGGGAACAGAGATGTCGCCTCAGGTACACTGTAGCTTTTCCTCTGAGTCATAAACTCAGGAGACAAAGTTTTCTTCAAGCTCTCAGTTGCCATTTCCTTTTTCTTTGACTAAAGAAAGTTATCCTGATAGGGGAATTCCTGAACAGCGAGCCTGTGGCCCGAGGGTTCCTATTCTAACCTCTCATACTGGTGGAACCTACTTATAATTGGAGAGACATAAGCTTGTCTATCTAGAGAAGTTGCTAATCTGACTTCAAGAGAAGTTTTATTCTCACAAGAACATAGAATCTACAGGGACGGGGACTTATTCAGTCAATACGATAGCCTCAGTCCTCAGTATACTGACACACTCAAGGACTGAATTCATTCATTCATTCATTCATTCATTCATTCATTCATTCATGTCTTTCTCAAGCAGAACACTTTCAGTTAACACCTGAAATAAGAGGAATGAGAGAAAAGGTAGCCAGGAAGACATTTTTGGCTACAAGTAATAGGACTAATGTAATCAACTTGGCATTAGCACCTACAAAAAGACAGCCAAATTTAGACAGCCCAGGTGTTTGCTCAAGCCACCATTTAGGACCCGTATGGTGATATTTTATTTGTGCTGAAATGTGATTTTATTTGTATGTTAATAAATAAAGTTGCCTGGAGATCATTAAGCAGAAGTCCGATCACATGGCAGGCAGAGTCTCTGTGTGTTCAAGGACACAGCCAGCATGGTGATCCCAGTACCAACGACAGAGACCTGGAAGTCTGTATAGACAAGCAGTGATGAGGAAGTCATGTGGTTGGGTTTAGAGCCAATGAGAAGGCAGACCAGAAAGTCAATAAAAAGGACACAGGAAGAAGGTCTCTCTTTCTCAGGGGAAGGACAGCAGCAAGTGGTAAGATAAGGTGGTCTTAGCTCTTGGCTACTGCTCCGATCTCTGGGCTTTTAACTCTTTATTTGGCTCTGTGTTTCTTATTTAATAAGACCGTTTAGAATTACATCTACAGTCCCGGACTGGTTTGTTTGGCACGTCTGTAGTTAAGTTGGTTGATCCACCTGGTGACTGAAAAGCAGTGGTTCTCCTCCCGGTGGGAAGTCCAAATCACTCTCCCGGAGTGACGGGGGCTGGACATTTGTGGTTTTGAAGAGCCACACTGGGGGTTCTGCTGCCAGCAAGGCAGCACCATCCAATGGGTGTGCACGTGGGAGCTAGCACAGTCCCTGAAACATCTATAGCAAATCTCAATGAAGAGATTTTGACAGATGTGCAAGGAGTTCAGAGGAAAAGCTCCCCATTGGGCAAATACAGAGGAAGGAGCTTGGAGACAGCGGACCGCAGAGGTGAGTAAGACACAGCGGGTGTGCAGCCAGGACACAGTATGAGCTGGGAGGGAAGAGATGGAACATTTGTCACATTCCTCTGTCATCTGTGTCAGAGGACGAGCTGATCTCTGGCTCGTTGGCATATTAGTTCATGGGAAAGGGAAGTTTGCTCATCTTGAACCAACAACTAAAGAAACAGAGGTTCATTTCCAGAGCCCAGTGACTCAGCATTCTCTGAGATTCCTGATGCTTTGGTGAAACTGTTCACTAAGCTTCCTCTTTGAGCACAAGGGGGTTTTAAAAGGCAACACGGGGCTTTCACACACCCATGTTTCTAAAATCCCATCTACTGAGTGGAAAAACCCCGTGAGGTTACCTCTGCATACTACCCAATCACTTCTCAGACAAGGAGGCATGACCAAGATAAACAGTCAAAACCAGAAGGCTACAGAAGTGATTAGGAAGGATGCTGGGAACAACCTGAGAGTGCGGGGCGTTGGTACATCGTTAGTGACTGGATTCCACTTTAGGATTCAATTAGTTCAGACTCGATCAGAGACCCCATCAGTAAGTGAGCATGCCAACCACCAGGCAGGGACCAGCTTTGCCGATAACACAGAAAGTGATTCATGTCAGCTAGGCTGGGACAAATGTCACCCACTCATTTTGATGGATGCACCCCATTCATAGAAATATGTGGACAGATATTGATTTTTTGAGCTCCACCATTACTCACTGTTCTTGGCAACTGACTTGCTTCCTTGGCTTAGCTGTGTTGGTGCTACTGCGGCAGATAATGAATTGCAGGTTAGTGAAGCACGAAGGGGTCTGCCTGCAGCTAAAAAAGACAAGAGTTGACAACAGGCACTCCATATGTGGCATGGGCTGGACTTGATAGAGCAGCAGTTCTCAACCTGTGGGTCGTGACCCCTGTGGGTTGTTGAATGATCAGGGGTCACCTAAGACCATCTGCATATCAGATTTTTACATTATGATTCATAACAGCAGCAAAGTTACTACTAGAATACGTTTGTGGTTGGGGGTCATCACAACACGAGGAGCTGTATTCAAGAGTCACAGCGTTAGGAAGGTTGAGAACCACTGACAGAGGAATAGTGTCTCTCCCACATTTCAAGATCCTTGCTTGCGTTATGTATGAAGTAAGAACTCTGAGTCAAAAGAAAGCTGCAGAGCGCTAGAGCGACAATCAGCTTCTGAAACCCAAAGAAACCGTGGGAGTATCTTTCAAGTAAGGGATATAACATAACCTCTGTGAGAGTCGGCTGTTATCAGGAGGAAGTGGGAAAGAAGGGAAGGGATCGAAGAAATTCCTAAGCACACGTGCAAGGTTCCTCTCTCTAGGCTGCAGGTCCAGGTTCTTTTCTGGTTTTCTCACCTGGCATTTTGATCTGGGAAGGATTATGGTAGCAGAAGTTAGTGGCTAAGAACTGGGGGGGTTCCTTCTGGGCGGACAGTTCCATCTCTGTCTGACTCAGGTATTCACACATTCAGCAAACTCCATCACCTTCTGTCTGCCATGTTTGGAAGCACCACAGATGAACACGACCTAAAGGAACGTATGTCACTGGGGAGGGTAACAGAACACCAGACACAGCAGGAGCGAGCAAGCGCGGGACATCACAGCCTCACCCAGGAGGGGCAGCAAGGACACGGACTCCAGGGTGACACCTCGGGAGTACTTTCCAAAATGACATGATTCTCAAGCTGAGGGATGAGTACAAATTAGTCAGAAAAACAAGGGCAAAAGAAAAGCTGATCAACATTAGCACAGCCACAGAAGGTGACACTTCAGAACCCCAGGGGTGTGGCTGAGGCTGGGAATATTGGCAGGACTCTGAGCTGGAAGGACCTTCCATGGCACACTAAACTGCCAAAACTTAAGTTTGTTTTTGCTTCTAGAATTTCTTTTTTCTTTTTTTTTTTTTTAAGTTCTGATCTTCTGCAGAGGTTCCCTTGTTCAGTCATGATGAACATAGTTTCATTCATGTTCTTGAGCAGAGCTGCTGTGGCTATTTTATTTATTTACTTATTTATTTGGTTTTTCGAGACAGGGTTTCTCTGTGTAGCACTGGCTGCCCTGGAACTCAATCTGTAAACCAAGCTGGCCTCATATTCATAGAGACCTTCCTGCCTCTGTTTTCCAAGGGCTAGGATTAAAGGTGTGCACCTCCACCATCTGGTTTACTGTAGTTACTTTAAAATAATTCTAAGGCAGGCAGTGGTGGTGCACGCCTTTAATCCCAGCACTTGGGAGGCAGAGCCAGATGGGTCTCTGTGAGTTCGAGGTCTGCCAGGTCTACAGAGTGAGTTCTATGACAGTCAGGGCTACACAGGGAAACCCTGTCTCAAAACAACAACAAAACAGAAAAAAAAAGATTGTGATTTCCACATCATAATTAATATATAGACTATGGTTTCCTTTAACATTCTTTTGAAGAGCTTCAAATTTGTTTTACTGAACAGTTAATGTTGGGATCAGGTGATATCTGACTCTAAGTTACTCCACACAGTGGTTTTCCAGGCTGTGCCCTGCCCTAAGAGGCTCCATTTTACAAGTAGTTTTTGACTCCACTTTGAGTGAGGAAGGTGACTGAATTCCTAGGTGAACCCAGAAATTGTACCATCTGTCATGTGCCACCAAGCAGGCACAGGGTGATTGATCAGTGACTCATTCCTGGGAGTAGAAAGGGAGGCACCAGATGAATTGAGATTGTAGGCACACCATGAGTCTATTAAAATCATGTTTTGAAAATTATTGGACGTGACACCAAGAAAAGTGTTAGTAACTCCATCACCTGGGCCCCTTAAAGTGACAGACACCTAACCTAGCAACAGCAGATCCCACGCCAACCACCACCTGACATACCTATGTGCAACTCAAGGACCAAAGACTCCCTGACTGTTTCCGAGGCTTTGGCTCAGCTCACTCTCCCACCGTGGACACGGACTATTCAACTGCTTGCCCATCCACCTGCTTGCCTGTCTGAACCTCACCAGCCATTTCTGGCTCCAGGTTTGGCCTTTCACTTCAAGTGTCAACTCACTGTTTCTTATCTGTTTACTCTTTGATTTCTTTAGATTATTTTCTCCTCCAGAGTTCATTGTTGTTATCTGCAGAAAAGTTAAACCAGTATGAGCCACTCTGTTGTTAACAAACATAGGATTCCAGGTTCTCAATAACTATTTGTTGGATAAATTCAAGTACCTACTTTATATTTCTAGTTACCTCTAGTAGCTACCACATACTTAATCTAGCCAGGACTAAGCTAAACCTTGGATTGTCTCTCTTTCTCCTACTTCCCATTTCCAGCATATCTGCTCTTCCTCAAGTATCTTTCTTTCTGTCTATATCCATCCATCCATCTGTCCATCCACCCACCCACCCACCCATCCATCTATCATCTTCCCCATGTGCCCTGACTTCCATTTGATCATAGGCCTTTCAAACTTGACCTATCAGAAGCCAGCACTCTTACCTCCCAGCTTTACACTGGCTGACCTTGCTGTACAGACTGGCCCCTTCACCAGCAGCCACTTGGCTCATAATTCTTACCCAAGTCTCATCCCCAGTCATTGTTTGGATGAGACTTTCCTGACTATTTGCTATAAAATGAATATAACCTATTTGCTCCTTTTCCACAACCTCTCTTATTACAGTTTCATTTTTCTCTATGACACTTGTTTGCTAATGATTACCGATCTGCTTTTAAAACTTTTGGTTTCTCCCCTCATGAAGTGTAAGATTTCTGAGACATGGCCTTTCCAACGCTGTGCCTCAGACCTGAGAAAAGAGCAGAGCTTAGGTGTTTAGTAAGTCTTTTTTTTTTTTATTAAATGACCCTTTATTAAATTTTATTTTATTAAATAACCTTAAGGTTAGCACTCTCAAGGCAGATCTCTGTGAGTTCAAGGCTACCATAACCTACATAGCAGGTTCCAGGCCAACCAGGGATATATATATAGAGAGAGAGATCTTGTCTAAGAAAGAGGGGATGGGAAGAGGGAGAGAGAGAGAGAGAGAGACAGACAGAGAGAAAGATATACAGAGAGACAGACAGACAGAGACAGAGACCCTTGGTGAGGGAGGAACAAGGTCTTTTTTTTTTTTCCCTGAGACAGGGTTTCTCTATGTAAGAGCCATGGCTGTTCTAGAACTCACTCTATAGACCAGGCTGGCCTCGAACTCACAGAGCTCCACCTGCCTCTGCCTCCTGAGTGCTGAGATTAAAGGTGTACACCACCAACACACGGTGGAACTAGGTCTTATAATATGGACAGAAGGTCTTATAATATGGACAGCCAAAGGTCTAGGAGAGATTAATGTCACAGAAACCACAATCCAAAAGGAAGATGTAAAAATATTCAGAACATTGGCTGAGGTGGCTTTCTGCAGTGGCTTTCTGCCTTGGGGAGTTAAGTGAATTGGTGACTTTGAGTATGACATTATTTTGGTGATACAGCAGAAGAAACCAGACCACAGAGGGCTATGAAGCGGCAGCTGGCAGAAACTTAGAGTCTGAGGCTGGAAGAAAGGGTGAGATGGGAGTCAAGGCTGAAGCCCTGAGAACAGACTGAGTAGAGGCAAGATTGGATGTGATGAGCTCAGAGGAGAGTTCGGGTTTTGACTCTGAGGCAAAAAGGAGAGACTAGGGCTCAGCCTGCTTGCTTCAGTCAGGGCTGCTACATATGGCTGTCCTGACTATGTCCTGTAGGCCACCTCCTGACCAACAGGAATCTTCTGTCCTCAAGTCACAGGACCTGGAGCGGAGTGTGGTTTTCTACTGTAGTACATACAGCATATGGGGTGGGGACATCTGCTGGAGGGGTGCCTTGTCCTACAATCTAGGGGAAGGCTTTATTTAGAACTCACATGTTTTAGGTAAATAACAATGAAGATTCTAGTAAAATAGTCTCCTTTCCTCTTTTTAAACATGCTAGGCAGATGTATGTACACAAGGGTACACAACACTCCTTGTGCATGTTAGGCAGTTGTATGTACACACACATACACACACACAACCCTTGTGCGTGTTAGGCAGGTGTACGTACATGCGCTCACACATACACCTGTGAGAGGCAGAGTGAAAAGCCGCCTGTATCGCCATTTCCCTGCCCCAGTGTCCATTCATTTTCCCCGGAGACAGCCACTATTCCAAATTCGGGAGTTTTCATTCTCATGCTTAGTCTTTTACTTTCATCAGAATACAAATTATTATTGCATGACTTTACACACATGGTCTCTCACTGCATGCAATCCCCTGCAATTGGTCTTTTTGCTGAACACTGTTGAGATTTAACTACGTTGATAAATGAGCCTCTGGTTTATTCATTTTCATTCATTTTGATATCAAGGAGGACAGTGAATAAATACACCATACCTTCTCTTCTATTTTTCTGAAGACATCATTCAGGCTGTTTGTTTTTAAAATCAAGAGAGTAATAAGTTCTATGAGTCTCCTTATTACATAGACAAGAATGTTGTAGAGTACAATTTCTGGGTCCCTTCAACTTCACTAGATAATATCAACATGCTCTCTAGAGCCCTATGTACTCTCATTAGGGTCTGTATGTTGCCATTCATACCTTCTCCCATTTGGAGGACGATATTTTGGCTGGAATGGCATTGATTATGTATAAATTTGAGTATTTTTTTCATGTTTTTTGGCCATTTGAGGTTCTTATTGTTAAAAAATTAAATTAACACTATTATGGTTAGCAAAATTTTTGAGACAGCATCTCACTATGTAACCCTTACAAGTCTGGAACTCACTATGTAGACCAGGCTGGTCTCAAACTCATAGAGATCCATGTGCCTCTCCCTCCAGAGTACTGAGATTAAAGGTATGTACCACCATGCCTGGCCCACAGTTAGTAATTTTTATTACAAATATATTCTCATGACTCTGACTTCTCTTCAACAATTTGTTTTTTATTTGTGTGTTTGTGTGGTGTCATGTGGTATGATGTGTGTGCATGTGCACTGGGTTATTCTCTTGACACAAGGACTCTGGAGCTCACAGGTTTTCAGCTAAGCTGGTGGCCAGCAAGTCCCAGTGATGTGACCTCTTGCTTTCCTCCCTCGCCTCCACTGCTGGGGTTACAGATGTGTGTGGCCATGTGGACGCTGGGGATCTGAACTTGGGTCTCCATTCTTGACAGTGAGCACCTTTACCCACCGAGCCCTCTCTCCAGCCTTCTTCAGTCTGCTTTTGCTGCTACCTAACTCAATAACACAGACTGGGTGATTTACAAAGGGTGACAGTGTATTAACCTCACGGTTCTGGAGCGTGGAAGGTCCGACTTCAAGGGCCTGAGTAGGTGCTGGTCTTAGTGGGATTCTGCAGAATCCTGATGCAAAACAGGGCATCACATGGTAAGTAGGCCTCATCCAACGAAGAGGGCCAAACTGGCTTCTACAACAGACCAAGTGGAGAGAGAACTCAGTACTTCATTAATTCACGAGGGCAGAATCCTCATGACCTAATCATCGTCTAAGGTTCATCGGGCCCCACTTCTGAACAACTTACAGTGGGAATTAAATGTCAACAGAAGTTTTGGTGGGGGCATTCAAACCACACCAGTCATGTTTTTTTTCAACATTTTTTTGTCTTTTTTGTTTTTCAAGACAGAGTTTCTCTGTGTAGTTTTGGTTCCTGTCCTGGATCTCACTCTGTAGACCAGGCTGGCCTCGAACCCACAGGGGCTGAAAGAATGGAGTGTGATTACTACCCCACAGATGAGGCCTAGAGGGGCCTGCTTCTACTACTGATAACTGATGTGCTTGTAATAAATGTAAATCCCCAAGGGAGCAGAGTGGAAACTCAAGCTTTGTAGCTCAGTGTCCATCTGCATTTCAAGACATTCATCCAAGTATGTGAGGTAGAATATGCATCAGAGGCAAAGGCAGTAAGACACAAAGGGGCAGGGCAGGCTTGCAAATAGAGTACACAGCCTGTGCGTGCTAAACCTGTGGCCACATCACTGATGGCCTATGTGCTGGGCTCACAAACTGTGATTATAATAGGTGCAAGCATGTCTCGAACAGGTGTTTCCAGAAGGTCAATCTGATAGCCAAATGTGGAGGACACACCATCAGGCCAGGTGGGAAAGGCTGATGGCCTATCGTGGAGCACAGGAGAAGGGATGCATGCAAGAGACCTTTAGGGGTCACTAGAGTTGTGGGGGCAGTCCCCTCTGCTGAAATTGGAAAAAGAGAAATCAGGAAAAGTATCAGTGGTAAGAGGACAGAAGGGAAGCCAAGGCCAGACAAAAGTTTTAGAGTCTTTTAAATAAATGGTCAGTCATACATTTACTACCTGCAAAGAAGGTGCTTTCAGACAATGTTTATTGCTCCCCACCCCCTTTAAAACATAAAACTCACTCTCACAGCCTTTGGTATGATAGAGTAAGTAATCACCAACAGTCATAGATTAGGTGTGATGGCACATGTCTTTAATCCCAGCACCCAGTTAGGCAGAGGCAGGAGGGTCTCTGGAGTTCAAAGCCAGTTTGGTCTACATAGTGAGTTCCAGGCCAGCCAGGGCTACACATCAAGGTTCCTTATCAAAACAACAAAACAAAGCAAAAATGGCAAGCATCAATTATGTTTAAAAATAAGAAAATCCTTCAACAGAGAAAATGTTTAATTTTCGTAGCTGAGGTGCTTATATATAAGCAAATTCCTCTATTGCACAGCCACAGACCAGAGACCGCTGTGAACCAAACAGCGTCATCTGCAGGAGGTGACAGCCATTACCCATCAGTTTTAACTCAAGGAAAACATGACAAAAGGGAGAAGTCTTTCACAATTTCTTTTTTGAAAAAAGATTTATTCCTTTAATTATATGAATGGGGGTATGTGCACATAAGTGCAGGTGCCAGAGTAGGCCAGTAGAGGGCATCGGGGAGTTATACATGGTTGTGAGCTGCCCACCATGGGTGCAGGAGAATTGAACTTAGGTCCTCTACAGGAGATATGACTCATAGGTGTTAAATGTACTAGATGTATTAGGGTCTCAAAGTGAGCCACATTTCACATACACACATTTCTCTGTGTAGCCCTGGCTGTCCTGGAACTCATTAGACCAGACAGGCCTCGAACTCACAGAGATCCTTCTGCCTCTGCTTCCTGAGTGCCGGGATTAAAGGCGTGTGCCACCACCACCTGGTTCCTGTGTATATTTTAACAACGCAAAGGTATGAACCATACATGGTGATCTGAAAGGTTTCATGAAAGAATTCATAAAATGCATTGAACGATCACAACAAGCACACATAAAAACCTGTGTATTAAACTACAATCAGAGCTGAGTGCAGGCGGTGTGTAGTCCTTCATCATTTGGTTACTTGTTTATTATTATTATTAGGCCATAGTTAGTATAGTTATTTACGTTTCTTTCCTCATCTTCTCCCAGACTTCCCTTTGGCAATGTTTCTGCACCATGGCTCCATCACTGTTAAAAAAAAAAAAAAAAAAAAAAAAAAAAACAGTATCAGCTATAGAAGCCTGGATCCTGACTGCCACCTAGTGGAATTTTTGAGCATTAATGTACCCATAATTGTTTTATTTTCACCAAAATAGCTAAATATGACCACATCAAATTATGGGCTACTGATCTCTAAAGGGTGAAACTCTGGAGCTCATTTTGCTTTTTGTAAAAATCAGAGTTTCTATAGTCTTGGGAGATTGCTTAGTGCGGTGGTTCTTAACCTTCATATGCTGCGACTTTTTAATACAGTTCCTCATGTTGTAGTGACCCCCAACAATAAAATTATTTTCATTGCTACTTTATAACTGTAATCTTGCTACTGTTATGAATGGTAACGTAAATATCTGCTATGTGACCCAAAGGTTGAGAACCATTGGTAAATCGTTTGCCATGAAAATATAGTGGCCAGAATTCAGATTCCTAGAACCCATGTGGAAGCTGGGCATGGTAGCAAATCTTCAATCCCAATGCGTCCCTGGGACCAGGGCAGGAAAATCTCGGAAGTTATCAGGCCAGTCAGGAAGACTGGTGCTTCGCAGCGAACAGAAGACTGTCTCAAACACAGCGGGAGACCAGGACTAATGCCTGAGGCCTTTCTGATGTCCACATGTATACTATACCACGTGTGCCTCCCTTCCCACCCAAACACACACACTCACACACTCGAGTGTGCTCACACACACAAATTAAAAAACAAAAGTCAAGTGGCTCCTTTTTTCCTTTCTATGTGAGAAAGCATACCCACTGTCACTTGTGGTTGATTAAATCAAATAATTCTAAAAAATTGATTGTCCTGTTATACACCATGCAGTAAAAATTATGTGAAGTATTTTTCCCTTTTGTCTTTGTTCTAAGAGAAATAAGCTACAGCAGAGGAATGCAGTAACTCTACTCTCAAAGGCCATCTTAAGGAGCTGGAGATGGATGGCTCCGTGGCTAAGAGCACTAGTTGCTCTTCCAGAGGACTGGGGTTCAATTCCCATCACCCACACAGACAGTTTATAAGTATCTGTAATTCAAGTCTCAGGGGATCCAATGCCCTCTCTGGCATCCATGGGCACTGTATGCAGATGGTACAGACACATGCAAGCAGAACACCCACACACATTTAAAAAAAAAAAAATCAAAGACCATTTTAAGACTACTGCTACGGCTATAGCAGAAAGCTACAGAGCCCCATCATACAGCAGTGGGCAAGTGAGGCCCACCTGACTCTCCTGCCTGAGTGCAAGGCTAAGTAACGCCTTTACCGACTTACTCATGCTTTTCTTCCCACTCTTTGCCTCTTTCTTGCTATGTCTGACCCATCCTTTTGTGAGAGCCAAAGTTACATTTGAAGTTTTAATTACTATGCCTTAGAGATTCACGAAACAAAAATGTTTCTGATCTGCAAGCCTCTTGCCCAAGGAAAGATAGATCTTGGAGGGTACTATTTATGGGAGGTAACAAGCTACATGTTTTCATTCCCCTAAACAAGTTTGACTCATCTACACTGGATGTTTGATCACATGTGGGTGGGAGGTATGTAGGAAGCAAATATATCAGGATGTATGCTTGTCCCTGATTGGACCTGATGGAAAATGCAATGAATTATGGGTTTTCCTTTTTAAGCCCTTGCAAAACTTAATTCGGGACCATTTCCCAGGAACCTAGGTATGGACCTGGCCAGATCCCATCCACCTGGCCAGTATTTAATTTAAGCTTGCTCTAAACTGTGGTAGTGGTCTTCTTTTCAACCAATGGGATTAGCACTTTCTGCTGTCTTTTGTTTCTAAGGGCCACGTGTGCATCTGTAATCTCACATTATATCTGTGCTTAACAAGCAATGGCTATCACCCAGAGTTTTCCTCCATTCTCTATCATTACCAACACACACACACACACACACACACACACAGACATGAAACCATTCAACATCTATTCTAGCCAGGCTATGAATACTTTCCCCCATATTTATATTTTGAAAATTGTCAAATATACAGCAAAGTTGAGAGGTTAATACCATGAACTGTTACACATTCTCTATTAAATTCAGTAACTGCTAACATTTTGCTTTTTAAATTTCATGTGAACACTCATACATATGTTATGTTCATATATATGGATATATAAATAGTGTAAACATTTTACATAATTTTTGTTCTTTGAGAGTCTCATGTAGCCTAGGCTAACTGAACTCACATGGTTGAGGCTAGCTTCGACTTCCTTCTCCTCATAACTCCATCCACCAGATGTTGGGGTTATAGGCATGTGCCGCCACACCCAGCTATGTAATATAGTATTTTGGCCAGGTATCCCTAAATATCTAAACATGGGCCTCTCCCCTAAGTATCTATAAACTTCACAACTAATAAAACTGGCAATTTAACATCATGTAATAGTGAACCCAAGCATCATCTAATACTGTCTATGTTCAAATTTCCACACATATGGTTTTTTGGGGGGACGGGGGTGGGTAGGGGGTGGTGCCAGTACCTTGTGCTTCTCAGTGAACACACTACCTCTGTGTTAACATCACTAGCCTGGCCTGTTCAGTCAACATTTACACACCACATTATTATTTCTCTTTTTGGTTGGTTGGTTCTTCAGATAGGCTCTTGTTATGTAGCCCTGGCAGACCTGGAACACATCAACCAGTCCCAGCGATCTCCAAACTTCTGTTGATTCTCCTACCTCTGCCTCTGGCATGGTGGCTGGAGCAGTTTGTTGAGAGCTGGCATCATAAACTGCAAGCTCAAAGCAGAGAGCTCAAACTAGAAGTGGCATGTAAGTCTTTAAACTCTCGAAGCCTGCTTCAGTGGCATACTTCTCCAGGAAGTACCTCTAACCCACTACAGACAGCACTGGAGACCAAGTGTTGAAATGCCCAAGACGATGCCGGGTGGTGGTGGCCCATGTCTTTAATCCCAGCACTCGGGAGGCAGAGCCAGGCGGATCTCTGTGAGTTCGAGGCCAGCCTGGGCTACCAAGTGAGTCCCAGGAAAGGAGCTACACAGAGAAACCCTGTCTCGAAAAACCAAAAAACAAATATATATATATATTTCTCATTAAAACCACATTACTCGGGCTGGAGAGATGGCTCAGAGGTTAAGAGCACTGGCTGTTCTTCCAGAGGTCCTGAGTTCAATTCCCAGCACCCACATGGTGGCTCACAACCATCTGTAATGAAATCTAGTGCCCTCTTCTGGTGTGCAAACATACATGCAGGCAGAACACTGTATACATAATAAATAAATCTAAAAAACCAAAAACAAAAACCCACATTACTCTTGAATAATTTGAGTCAATAGAACATCCACATTCTGGATCTGTGGTTCTTTGCTCACAGTCACTCAACATGTTCCTTTATGCATCTATTTCCTTTAAACTGGACGGCTTGATTATATTCCTTCACAGGTGACAGTCACTCACGGTATATCAGTCAAGAGGTGCATAAAGTCAGGATGTCTCACAATTAGTGGTGCTGAAGTTGATCACTGGGTAAGTAGGTGAATGCCAAATTTCTTCATTGTATTTATTAATCATCTGTGGGATATGATGCTTCATACTTGTGTGTGATACCTTGACTCTGTAAACAACCAACCTCCCTTTTACCACTTGGCTTTGTAGCGTCTACGGATGTTGTCTAAGCACCTCAAATAGCCACTTTTCCCGTTCTATCACTCCATCTACCCTTATTGGCTATTTATTTCATATACAACAACAACAAAACTTCCCTTCTCTTGACTTACAAGGTCTTCAGGCAGTCTTGGCTGGCCTGAAACTCGCTATGCGGACCAGACTGGCCTCAGCTTCAGATGCGCCTGCCTCTGCCTCCCCGGGGCCGGACTGCAGGCGCGCCGTCCCGCCCGACCCATTCTCGGGACTGAATCCCTTTCTCATCGAGTCTACGCCCCGGGAACTTGAGGACAGCACCCACCCCAGCGATGCCCTCGCCGCTCCCACCACAAGGCGGAACTGACGTAAGACGAACCCGCACGCTGCGCCCGGCGCAGCCCAGGTACGCCACTTCCTGCCGGTTAGACCACGCCCACTCCGCCTCCTGAGGCCGCAGACGCTGGCAGCTTAGAGGACGCCGGGAGTCACGTGACTCAAGCGCCATTTCGCGAGAGTTTGTATGTCTCGCGAGAGCTCACTCGCCTTGTCTTTCCCTCTTGCCGGAGCCCGGCTTTTCTCCCCTCCCCCCTTGCCGCCGGCGGAGTTTTTCCTTTTCCGACCGAATCTTCTCGTCGTCGTGGATATTTTCCCTGCTGCAGCTCCCCTTGCCGCCGCTGGGCTCGCGTCCCCGACCCCTGCCCGCCGTCCCGTCCCCAATCCCGCCCAAGGTAACGAGCCTCTGAGGGAGGGTCAGGCCTCGCCGGGCCTCGGCCCGGAGTGGAGACGGAGGCCCAAAGCCCAGGCCTGGCAGCGGGGCCCTGGCGCGGGCACTGTGTGGAGCCCGCTGCTCTGGCACCCCTAGTGGGCGGCCCTGGCCGGCGAGGAGGCTTCCGGGCCGAGGCGGCGAACGTGGCCGTCCCGGGGAACCCGTCGGGTGGGGGAGACGCCCGCGCCGTTCCGAGAGGTCCACTGTGAGGATGCGGGGCTCCGCAGTTTCCATGGAAGCTGAGAGTCTCCTGGTCTGAAAGGATGGACGGAATGATGGCGGGCTTTGGAGGGCTGGGTGACTGGGAGGAGAGCAGCTTGCCTTGTTTGAACCCTTCAGACTGGAAGCGTCTGCCCGGGTTCCAGGCTTCCGGTGGACGGGAATGTTCTGGAGATGGTCCTCAGGACCCGTATGTTTGCGTACGCTTTAAGGGAGGGTTTAGCAGGATCTCGCTTTTTAGGACATTGAGCTGCGTTTGTCGAAAGGTGGTTTCTGAGATTACCTGTATGTGAACAGTATGTGTGTTCTGAGGAGCTGCGTACACTTAGACTTGAATGGTAGCTGTAGTAGTTTGTGTGGTTTTATCTGACTTTGGAAGTACTCGTCCGTGCTAATTTTTGTGATTTTGACCTTTCCAACTGTTAGCCGGGCGGTGGTGGCGCACGCCTTTAATCCCAGCACTCGGGAGGCAGAACCAGGCGCATCTCTGTGAGTTCAAGGCCAGCCTGGGCTACAGAGCGAGATCCAGGACAGGCACCAAAACTACACAGAGAAACCCTCTCTCTCTCTCTCTCCCGAAAAAAAAAAGAGTATGTCAAAGTATTGTTGAGCCTCACACTCACTGCCTTCCTATATTAGTTAAAAGAACTTTCCTTTTTTTTTTCTTACACTTTCTGGGAGATCTTTTTGTATAGAATTTATCTGACATGTTTGTAATTTATTGCTTTGAAGTTTGTGACTAAATCTGAAGAAAGTAAAAATGATGACGAATAAAACTTCGAGTTGGGAGCAAAAGTGATCTAACTTAGGCAGGTTAGAGGAACATTTTTGTAATTTGATATTTGACTCAGTTTGTATGGTCTTTCATTTCCCTCAGATGTCAGAGGATCTAGCAAAACAGTTGGCCAGCTACAAAGCTCAGCTCCAGCAAGTAGAAGCTGCTTTGTCTGGAAACGGAGAAAATGAAGATCTGCTGAAATTGAAGAAGGATTTGCAAGTAAGTATAGATGGACAGTTGTAGTTGATGTGGTTTGAGAAGAATATTTGTCTTTTTAACGTGCATTGTTCAGAATCCATAGGCACTCAAAGCACCCATGAAGAAGGTACTCCTTATTTGTATATACATGTACACCTGCATACAGGCACTGAAGCTTCTAAAGTTGCTTCCTCCATTTGGTGTACATCAAAATGAATGAAACACTCATGGTTTTGTAAATCTTGTGTGTGCTTTTAGGATTTCATGAGAAGAAACCTTTCAACAGAACATGCTTTTATTTTTAAAAATTTGACAAGGAAACTTAGTTGAAAAGGTAACACCATTAAAGGAGGAATGTGTAACCGGATTAAGGCCGTTTTAGTGACACAGGGTTATTTGAAAATAACATGGGACCTTATTTTTCACCACTCATGATGTGTGTACATAATATGTGTACAGAGATGACTTTCTGTCTGTGTGGGTGTTATATAAGTATTTGAACTTCAGACTAGGCTTTGTAGTTGTTGAGCCTTGTCTAAGTTGAATTGGTGTGAAAAGGAGATCTAACTTTTCATGGGGGATAGGAAGTATGAAACTTGGAAGGACATGCTTTGGGGCTTCAGGACAAACTCAGTATCTGTTGCTTCTCAGAACACCAGGTTAAGAAAAATACCATATGTAACTTGTAAATATTGTATACGAAAATTTTGATTTTAAGAACATCCTTAAAATTCTGAACCTGATCCTTTAGAAGTTTTCAGGGTGTTTTTATGATCTCTGCTTGCTCTATGCCCCATCTAAACAGTCCTTCCCTTTATCTTCTTGAGGGCCATTAATATCATTAGATTTTGCCAGCTATATACACCTTTAGGAAGTGTACTCAGAAAGCAGAAGTAAGCAGAGCTTTGAGTCCCAGGCCATCCAGAGCTACATAGTGAGACCCTATCTCAAAACAAAAACCTCCACAAAATTTCAAATGTAACTTACTTGAGAGGGCTTAATAGGTTTGGAAGTCTGAAAGATCTTATTTGTAATTTAAAATGAGTTGGACATTTTCAAACTCAGATTCTAGACTTACAATAGTGTAAATGTTATTTTTAAAAACAGAAAGTATGTGGGATAATTTTACTTTGAATAAGACTCTCCTTCAGTGTTTAGAAGCCAGGCCTGTGGAGTGCATGTGCCATTGAGTAAGAAGAGGTGTTTAGAAAACAGTTTCTCTCACCCCCAGCTCTTGTGTAAACAATAACCCAGTGTTTCCTCCCTACTCATTGGATTTGCTCACCTACACTGAGTCTGCTTGAAGTGACAGAGCAAATTAACCTGTCCCATCTACCTCTGCTGACTTAAAAACAGTCCTTTCTTTTCTTTGAAGAACAACACTTGTGTGTGCTTCCTGGGCAGTGGGAGGTCTGTGTAGAACTAGTAGGGGGGAGTTAGGGGGGTTTCAAACAGCATTATTATCACGTCTTTTTAATGTTTCTAGGTTAAATTATCTTTAGAGTATGGGGTCAGTTATTTTGATGTGAAATCTATAATGGAAAGTATGGTAGGGAGAACGTTATGGTAGATACAGTATTTACCTAAAAGGCTTATCTAGGGCTCAGTTAATAATGATCTAGAGGCTGAGGCTGTAACTGCTTAGAATACACAACACCCTGTGGTTTAATTCCCAGCACTGGGTGGGGAAAAGTCAACAAAATACAAAAAGCAAATCAAGCAGAGGCAGGCAGATTTCTATGTGTTTGAGGCCAACCTGATCTGTAGAGTTCCAGGCCAGCCATGGTGACTTAGGGAGACTGTCTTAATAAGAAAAGCAAAGCAATAATGACGTTGAAGTCCTTTATCTACAGATTTTCTTTAGCCAGTTAGAACAGCACTGTCTGGTAGAACTTGCCTCTGCGATGATGACTGTGTTCTTTGTCTGCTGTTCAGTTCCACAGCCACTAGCCACACATAGCTACTGAATAATTGAAATATGGCTAGGGTAACTGAGGAGCTACCATTGATTAAATTCTGGATGGTGCAGATTTAGAAGCTTAAGTGTAACATCATAAATATTGACAGGATAGAATTCTTTATTTGACCAATTTTCATCAGTTTTGTTTTGTTTTGTTTGTTTTTCCCCTCTTACTCCATTATGAGGAGTTTGATTTTGGTTACCTGGTATGGTTTGAACTGAAACTATTGGAAGATGGAAATCATCACTTAAGATTAGGTAAAATTAGAAAAATATTCTATATTTTTATATGTTTCCAACCTGGTTATTTGCATTGAGACTAGGAAATAGCTTCTGTTTGGGTATGAGTCTCCCTTTCACCTACTTGCTGCTCTTAGGGACATATATGTCTTGTTATTTAAATCTTTAGGGTGATTATTAAGCTTTTACCTTTTCTTTTTGAGGGGGCATCATAATGGCTTCTAATTCCTTATGTTTATTTTTTCAGTAAGGTTTCCGTGTTTCTGACTTTCATATAAAATAAAAATTTCTTTTTTCTCTTAGAAGAGAAAGTAGGTATAGTAAAATCAGACTAGCTCTTTAGTTCCCCAGGCAGTTTATAGTAATCACAAAAATAGTCCATTTATTAGGCTGTATTGCTGAATAAACTGGTTCTAAAGGAGGCAGGGGTCAAGTCACTTGTCTCATATATTACAGTGGCTCTCTGCATCCCCGAAACGCCTTCCTTCAGTAAGCAGAGTGCTTGAGTGCACCCCCTTTGACCTGCTGATATGTAGATCACAACTCCTGATGCTTCCTGGAATTGCCGATTACTGTAACTGCTGCCCATCTGTCAATGAAGGAGCAGTTTCAGAACTCAGACTTGGGGGAGGAAAAGTAATTAATGGTATGTACCTTCAAGAACCCCCTCATACATAAAATAGTTTTTCTGATACTTTGGTCCATACACACATGTGAAGATAAAAATTGAGAAGGTTCTTTGGAAATTACTGGGAGGGACATGTAAAATGACAAGAGTTACAGGACTTGAGGAGTAAATGCTCTGGACTTCGTTGTTTATAAGACGGGCCATCATGGCACAGGATTTTGAAAATTATGCACAGCTTTTCAGGATTCTTTTCTTTGAATATATTTCCTTTCGAAAGTGGTGGAGAAATGTTCTCTCAAATCTGAGACTTCTTACAGAGGTAGAACACATGTTTGTGCTTTAAAAACACGATCCCTGGAAGGAGATGCAGGCATTTAATGATAAAGCCTTTGTGAGGTCAGGCCTGTTTATAGTCCTGGCTCTGGAGGTGGTTAACTGAGAACAAAATTGGGTAATTTACTCTTCTTTTTGTATTACTGTTATTGGAAATGCTCCTGCTTTATTTACGTAGACTTGTCTAATTAAAAAAAAAATTTGAAGGCACTCTGGTTTGCACAAGATCCTAGGTTCAGTCTCAAGTGTTGCAGAACTAATGA